ACACACACACACACACACGACACACACACACACACACACACATCACACACTCACACAACACACGTCACACAACACACACGTCACACAACACATCACACAACACACATCACACACACACACACACAACGTCACACACACACTCACACACACACACGTCACACAACACATCACACACACATCACACAACACACACGTCACACAACGCACACAACACAACACACAAGACACAAACATCACCAGAGTGTGTTATCTGTGTGTGTGTGTCTTTATGTGTGTGTTGTGTGTTTGTGTTGTCTGTGTGTTTTGTTGTATGTTGTGTGTGTTGTGTTGTAAGTTGTGTTTTGTGTGTTGTGTTGTGTTTGTTGTGTGTGTTGTGTTGTGTTGTTGTGTTGTTGTGTGTGTTGTGTTTTGTGTGTTTGTGTGTTGTGTGTGTGTGTTTGTGTTTTGTGTGTGTGTGTTTGTGTGTTGTATGTTGTGTTGTGTGTTGTGTTTTGTGTGTTGTGTGTGTTGTGTGTTGTATGTTGTGTTGTGTGTGTTGTGTATGTTGTGTGTGTGTGTGTGTTGTGTTGTATGTTGTGTTTTTGTGTGTTGTATGTTGTGTGTTGTGTGTTGTGTGTGTTTGTGTGTTGTTTGTGTGTTGTATGTTGTGTGTGTTGTGTGTTGTATGTTGTGTGTGTTGTGTTGTATGTTGTGTTTTGTATGTTGTGTTTTTGTGTGTTGTGTTGTTGTGTTGTGTGTGTGTTGTATGTTGTGTTGTGTTGTATGTTGTATGTTGTGTGTTGTGTGTGTTGTGTGTTGTATGTGTTGTGTGTTGTATGTTGTGTGTGTTGTGTTGTATGTTGTGTTTTGTATGTTGTATGTTGTGTTTTGTGTGTTGTGTTGTATGTTGTGTGTGTTGTGTGTTGTGTGTGTTGTGTTGTATGTTGTATGTTGTGTTGTATGTTGTGTGTGTTGTGTGTTGTATGTGTTGTGTGTTGTTGTTGTGTGTTGTGTTGTATGTTGTGTTTGTTGTATGTTGTATGTTGTGTTGTTGTGTGTGTTGTGTTGTATGTTGTATGTTGTGTGTTGTATGTTGTGTGTTGTGTGTTGTGTTGTGTGTTGTATGTTGTATGTTGTGTGTTGTGTGTGTGTTGTATGTTGTGTGTGTTGTATGTTGTGTGTGTTGTGTGTGTTGTGTGTTGTATGTTGTGTTGTATGTTGTTGTGTTGTGTTGTTGTGTGTTGTATGTTGTGTTGTGTTGTTGTATGTTGTGTTGTATGTTGTGTTGTATGTTGTATGTTGTGTTGTTGTGTTGTGTGTTGTGTGTTGTTGTGTTGTGTGTTGTGTTGTTGTATGTTGTGTATTGTGTTGTGTTGTTGCAGTTCCACCTGCGTCCTGCGGGGGGCAGCAGAAGCAGCAGGAGGCTTTCTGAAACTCGTATCGATAAACTTTAATCATCCAGAACGGACCGAACATCTCAGCGAGATACGACGCCTCGTTACTGCCACAAACACACAAGAAGAAGAAGGAGGAGGAGGAGAAGAAGAAAGAGAAGGAGAAGAAGAAGAAGGAGAGAATCAATATGAAGTACCACGTATAGACGACACAGCAGTACATGATGGTGAGGAGGTAGGAGGTGAGGAGTAAGGGTGTAGGGTGTAGGAGGTGAGGAGTTAGGGTGTAGGGTGTAGGGTGTAGGAGGTGAGGAGTTAGGGTGTAGGAGGTAGGAGGTGAGGAGTTAGGGTGTAGGGTGTAGGAGGTGAGGAGTTAGGGTGTAGGAGGTAGGAGGTGAGGAGTTAGGGTGTAGGAGTAGGAGGTAGGAGGTGAGGAGTGAGGAGTGTAGGGTGTAGGAGGTAGGAGGTGAGGAGTTAGGGTGTAGGAGGTGAGGTAGGGTGTAGGGTGCAGGAGGTAGGAGGTGAGGAGTTAGGGTGTAGGGTGTAGGAGGTGAGGTGAGGAGTTAGGGTGTAGGAGTAGGAGGTGAGGAGGTGAGGAGTTAGGGTGTAGGAGGTAGGAGGTGAGGAGTTAGGGTGTTAGGGTGCAGGAGGTAGGAGGTGAGGAGTTAGGGTGTAGGGTGTAGGAGGTAGGAGGTGAGGAGTTAGGGTGTAGGAGGTAGGAGGTGAGGAGTTAGGGTGTAGGAGATGGGAGGTAGGAGGTGAGGAGTTAGGGTGTAGGAGGTAGGAGGTGAGGAGTTAGGGTGTAGGGTGCAGGAGGTAGGAGGTGAGGAGTTAGGGTGTAGGGTGTAGGAGGTAGGAGGTGAGGAGTTAGGAGTGTAGGAGGTGAGGAGTTAGGGTGTAGGAGATAGGAGGTAGGAGGTGAGGAGTTAGGGTGTAGGAGGTAGGAGGTAGGGTGTAGGAGATGAGGGGTTAGGGAGTAGGTGGTAGGAGGTAGGTGGTAGGAGGTAGGGTGTAGGTGATAGGAGGTAGGAGGTAAGGTGTAGGAGGTGAGGGGTTAGGGAGTAGGTGGTAGGAGGTAGGGTGTAGGAGATGAGGGGTTAGGGAGTAGGAGGTAGGGTGTAGGAGAT